TTTTTCTTGAATTGTTATTACGTGTTGTCTAAGTCCCTGACCTATCTATTAAGTCCTCACCATTATTATTCTTAAAACAATCTTATTACTCTATACTCAACCCACCCGTTTACTACATATAGACACGTCATAAACATTATTAACCTCAAACGCCATTATTAAAATACCTTAAAGTTATCCTTAAATTACGTGCATAATCCAAATCGGGATTAATTTAGTAAGGACCTGATTCTCGTCTACCAAAATCGTGACCTTAACTCACGTGCTTAAGCCTTAACGAATGATATTTATAACCCTTCATGTTTACTATTGGAGCTAAATCGAATCACTTCTCTGCAATTGCTCTCCCAACAATAGTAACATTTGGTGCCGATTGTGTAGAGCTGAACAATAAAGAAAAAAATTTTGATCTATTATATATATTTATACTATACATTTACAGATGGCCCAACCACCTCAACAACCTCCGCAACCCCAACAACCCGTTCTTAATCTAAACAATCCGATGCACAATTTTGCAAACCAGATTGCTGCTTTAATCCAGCAAATGCAACTCACTCAGCCGCCGCAAATTAATGTCGCTGGAAATCCCCGAGAACTTAACACTATAACATATCTGGAGTTCTATGGAGGGGACCAGGATCCGATAACCTGGCTGGAGGATGTTGAGAAGGCTTTTGAAGCCAATCTTATACCTCCTCTTCGGAAAATCTCAGTGATTATTTCGAAGCTTAAAGGCCCAGCTGCGACTTGGTGGGCAACTCAAAAAAACCAACAGCCTGTTATTGACAAATGGCACGATCTGTTGGTACCTCAACAAAGTTTTATTAACCACTTCATGGCTAAATTTCGAACCCCAGATTTGGAGGGAAAATGGTTTGCTCAGTTGATACAAAGGAAACAACTACCGGGAGAAAGTGTGGACAATTATCACACTGTCCTAGAAGAAATGATTCAACGAGTAGAATCCGGAGGACATCAATATCCCGATACAGCTAAAGCCCAAATATTTATTAATGGGCTCCAACCTGAACTTTTCATGGCTGTATCTCTGTTGACCCCTAATACCCTTGAAGACGCATATTCTAGAGCAAAGGCATATGAAAACGCCTACAAGCAAAGCCTCATCTACGCTGCTCTTTTGGGACAGCCTGTAGCCCATCCCTCTTATGGTTTTTCTGGTATTATTGGAACAATACCAATACCAAATACTGGTGTAAATGGGACCGAAGATGCACTGAATTGACTGACTGAAGCCATAAATAGGATGATGGCTCAACAACAAGAGCCCAGAAGGCCTTTCCGACCCCGGCAACCGGGAGCACCCGCAAACCAAACCCAGGGAATAGTTTGCTATAATTGTGGACACCCTGGCCATATAACTCGACAATGTCCTAATTTATTAGCCCCTATTAATAATAACTCTGTGATACCAACTATCTCACCTCAAACTACTCCTGCCCAAACAACTCCTGTCCAGAATGCCCCGACCGTTAATGGTCTAAGCTCTCAAGATGCCCTTCAGGCCTTATTGGCTATATTGAATAATAATTCTGATAGCTCTCAGAATCAGTCTTCATATCTGGGTATACCAGAGGGTGATGAAGCTTTATTCCTCCCGGCAGAACGACAAGTCTGCAAGAGACTCATCATTAACACTCCAATCCTCTGAAAAAAGAAGAACAGACAAGTTCTGGGCACTTCTACAGGATTAGTAGAAACTGAAGGAGTAAAAGACCCAGATAAAGACATGGCTAACATCCAAAGGGATCAAGATGAAGACCCTGAACTATCATCTGAAACAGAGCTGAGTAAAAAGAATAGTCTAAAGGCACTGCCAAAATGAGCTCCGGTTCAAAAGAAAAAGAATGTAGAAGAAAAACTGCCCCAAATCTCCTCTTTGGTCACCTCTATTCCATAGTCGCAGATATAAGGGATAAGCTGCCAATATTACGTATAGCCAATTGTTAAGAGCTATGCCTAATATGCAGCAAGAATTAACTTAATCCTTGCAAAAGAAAAGGACCGTTATCAGAAGAAGGATTCAGGGTAATGTTAATGTGCAGTCTACATTGAAGTCGACTGCCTTGTATTGTGATGCCGCTGTTCATGGTAAAAACATTCTCCTCATAGTTGATAGTGGATCATCTGGGAGTGTTGTCACATCTCATTTACTTAATGAGTTAGAAATTCAGATTGAAAGGCCTTTAGTAGTAAATATGATCAATATCTATGCAGAAAGTAAACGGACCATTGGTGAAATTTAAAATTTCCTATTCAATATTGGAGGTATTGAAATTCCTACTGATGTAATTGTAACTGACACCAACTCCTACTGTTCGATTGTTGGAAACGATTGGCTTGCTAAAGTAAACGCAGCCATCGACTAGAATTTATCCAAAATGACTGTTTTTTGGGACAATAAGGAAATCACAATTCCCGTCGAATTTAGAAAAATATCTAGGGTTCCATTGAATAAGAAACGGCTAGTAGTTAAAGAAATTAGAAATGAGAATGATGAAGACGATAACGAAGAAGATTCAAGTGAAGAATATGAAGATGAAGAATTGGAGGAACAACTGTTCGCTTATTCAGAAATAGAAGAGTTGATAGAAGAAGATAATAGTAAGAGAGATAATAAAGAATTTGAAAAATGGATAAATTATAGTGATAGTGAATTATAGTGGGAAGAAGAAGATAAGAATCAAAAAAGGTCAATTATCAAGGCCTATGGCCGGTAACGTATTTAGATTCTCAGTTGAAGGAATTTACGACTACTTCTGATCTTTTTGATTATTATTACAAAAACGAAAGACCAATAGAGATAGAATATACGATTGGAAGTTTGGATGAAGATCGACAAAGTCAACTATGACTACTACTAGACGAGTACTCCGATCTCAGTGCCTGAAGCCTTAACGAATTGGGTTATTTGTCATCAAATTCCTACCAGAGACATCTGGCCAATTAGACAACATCTGTATTGATATTCCTTGGCCGAAAAAGAATTTTTAAAAGAAGAAGTAAGGGCTATGTTTGCTGAAAATATTATTAGACCTTCTAAAAGTCCCTGGACGTCGCCTGTAGTTCTCGTGAAACAAAAAGCCCAAAAGATGCGTCTTTGTATAGATTACCGAAAACTCAATGCTTTCACTATAAGGGATAATTATCCATTACCAAGAGTAGATGAGCTTTTGGACTCCTTAAATGGATCGTCGTGGTTTACTACGTTGGATCTTGCTAGTGGATACTGGCAAGTTAAAATGTTAGAAGAAGATAAACCCAAGACTGCTTTTATTTCTTCCCAAGGCATTTTTAAGTTTAACGTAATGCCTTTTGGTCTTATGAACGCCCCAGCAACTTTCCAAAGGTTGATGGATCAGATCTTTAGTAATATAATTGGAAAGTTTGTCGTCATATATCTTGACAACTTGAATGTTTATTCCAAATCCTTTGAGGAACATTTGGACTATTTCCGAGAGGTATTAGAGAAATTAAGGAAGGCTAATTTAAAGATTAAGCCTCAAAAGTGTTTTCTTTGTAAAAGGAAACTTAAATTTCTAGGGTACGTTGTAAGTGCCCAAGGTATATCAATAGACCCTGATAAAATTCGGGCTGTCCAAGAATTCTCTATGCCGAGGAACCTGAGGCAATTACGAGGGTTTCTGGAGTTGGTATCCTACTACCGATGATTTGTTCCCGGGTTCACCAATATTGCTGGGCTACTAAATGCCTTGTTAAAAAAGAACGTGGCTTATCGTTGGACACCAAAGCAACAAGAAGCATTTGAGAAGCTCAAGGAAAAATTGGTAATTGCCCTATACTAGCTTATCCAGATTTTACTAGGTTGTTTATTCTTTTTTACAGACGCTTCAGACCTAGCCTTAGGGGCCATACTTTTACAACTAGATGCTAACCACAGAGAAAGAGTTGTGACATATGCAAGTTGTTCTTTAACACCAGCAGAAAGGAATTATGCCGTCACTGAGAAAGAATGTCTCGCTGTAGTCTGGGCAGTCTCGTACTTTAGACCTTATCTTCACAGATCTCATTTTACCCTTTATACCGACCATTTGGTGTTGAAATCATTATTTTCTCACCGGTTACCCCAAAACAGACTGGCCAGGTGGATCCTGACATTGCAGGAGTATTCATTTACCACCATTCATAAGTCAGAAAAATTACATTTTAGCGCTGATAGTTTATCTTGAATTTAAGGCTACAGGCCAAAGGCCTATCATATAAATTTTTCTCTCTAAATACGATATACTGATGCCAATTATGGAAAACTCATTTTGATTTAGACGGACATTTATAGATTTAGAAACATATAAAATTTTTACAGAATATCTTAGCAGGTCTAAGGTACCCCCTAACTATAGTGATAAAGTCTTGAAACACAAAACCCGGCATTACTTCGTTCGAAGTAAATTGTTATATAAAATCAACCCAGGTAATCCTGAGAGGCCTCAAAGAGTTCTAAAACCTCATAAAATCAAACCTATACTACATGCTATGCATGCCGACCCCTTAGCCGGACATTTTGGATATGAAGGAACTTATCAACGAATAATAATTGGGTATTATTGGCCCCAGATGAAGAACGATATAAAATGATATATTGGAGCTTGCGACACATGTTAAAGACGAGAGAGGCCTAAGACTCGAGAACTATTGCATCCGATAAAAGTAGGTTAGCCCTTTGATCGGATTGATATTGATATTGTAGGTCCGCTTCCAGAAACACCAGAAGGATATCGTTATATAGTTGTAGCCACAGATTATTTTACCAAGTGGCCGGAGGCCTGTGCACTTAAAAGTGCTGATGCTGAATCTGTTGCTTTTTTCCTTTTAGATGATATAATATACCGCCACGGAAGTCCCTGTGAGCTACTCTCTGATCAGAGTACTCACTTTTGTAATAAACTAGTGGATGCTATTTGTAAACAGATGAAAGTTTGCTATTATACATCCACCGCTTACCATCCCCAAACCAATGGATTGGTGGAAAGATTTAATAGGACTTTATGTGAAGTACTGGCCAAATGTATTAGACAATATGATGAGAAATGGACCAAATTTATCTCAACAGCTTTGTTCGCTTATCAAACTACCCGGCACTATACTACCCGGTATGAGCCCTTTTTCTTAGTCTATGGCCGCGATGCTATATTACCGGTCGAGACAGTTGTAATAACATATCCAGCTGAGCCAACTACTGAAGCCAAGACCCAAGATTATTTTTTCTGAAGAATTGAGTGTGTTCTAGGAAACCTGGAGGATGCCCGAAACCAAGCCCAAGAAAATATTAGAAAAGCCCAAAAAAACAAAAGGCTTATCATGATAAGAAATAGCAGATCGAGACTTACCAAATTGGTAATAAAGTAATGCTGCATGAGACTTCTTTAGATACGTCATATAGTGCCAAGCTTGAGTCAAAGTTTACAGGTTCCTACTACATACATGAAGTATGTGGCAATGGATCTTATAAATTAAGAACGATAAAGCTCATTTTAAATAATAAGCCCATCAAAAGCGAACGAGTTCTTAAGAAGAGGATTCATGGAAACCGGTTAAAAAGATATAATGCCCCCTATAATAACAGACTGCGTTCTCTATAAATACCTAGTCAATTGACCTTGAATTGAATCTTAACTCTGCTCAACCCATCTTCCCAATGAATTAATTAGAAGTCAATGCCCAATTTTTAAACCATGTTATGAAGCTGAGACGAATGATGATGAAAGGTACTGATATGATCGAAGTTCATATAACGGCCATGGAAATATTTTTCTTAAATGCTCAAAGAGAGCCCGCTCATCTTCTGTTCTCTGAAGATGTCATTGCCAATCCTTTTTCGCGGGCTATGAATGGTTACTTAAGTGACTTAAGGCGTACCGCTATCTCTACCAGACTCTCTGAACCCGTACCTGAGGGAACTTGGAGTGAGAAGCTCGATATATTATGTGAAATGATCCTTGGAGAAGGGTGTGACCAAGTGAGTCTTCTACAGCAATATTATT